CCCCAAAACCCCAAAACCCCAAAACCCCAAAACCCCTAACGTCACACATTCTATTGATATTTTCAATAAATATTTGCTAAAATGGAAAAAGGAGACTTTTTGGAGGAATTTGAGAACAAAATGCATGATCTCTTCCTTGACGGAACATGCTCTTATCAGTCAGGATCAGAGGTTAATAGCAATCTTGGCATGAAACTTAAGATAAGTACAGATTATGATACTGATAAGATATCAAAAGTTGAAGATGGAGTCTCTATCTCCTCTTCCCAATTCCCAAATTTTAACAATGAGGATGCTTTCTCAAAGCTGAACGAGGATAACATAAAAGAGCCTTCAAATCTTGATTTCCTTGATGATGACATCTTCAGAGTTCCAAAGGAAAGCAAGGAATCCAAGAAGGAGAAATAACAAGTTAAAAGCCAGAGAGACTCGTAAACGTAAGAAAAATTATATCTCCGAGTTGGAAGATAAGGTAACAAGCCTAGAAGTTGAGAACAACAAGCTTCGCGATGAAATCTGCCTTCTCCAGAATAAGTTATCTGCTGCTGAACTTGGAGAGGAAAATAAGCATTTGCTCACTAGAGTCAGAGCTCAAGGTAAGAATCTGCTTCTTGTTATATTTTATTGATTATAAACCGGTAAAAGCTCAATGACACCATTATGCTTTAGATGAGAAGTACCACGAAAATCTGAAGGAAGGCAAAGGAATCGGTGAAGTCCCAGATGCACCTGAGGAATCTATCATTGACTCAGGTGTCACAAAATGCTCTCGCAAAAAGGCATTCGTTCCTGATCAACTCGTCTTTGGATGTAATCAGCCGAGGATACATTTTCTTGATAAAGTTTTTGATATGATCCTTGATAATCTCTGTTGTGAGAAATACAAATTTAAGCTATTGCATTGTGAAGACAGGAGACCAGAGTATGAGGAAATTAAAAAACTTGAGAAGGCTTCTAAATACCAGATTCAGGAGTTACTGAAGGAAAAGAGGATTACACAATACGATATCTTAAATTCTAAGATGAAGCTAGATCAGAAGCAATATAACTTTTTTGTTCATTACGCAAATGATAAATATATCGAGATGAAGACAAGATTAAGCGAGGCAGTGATCAAGATTAATGAGGCTAGAAATACCTGCACATATGTCCTCTCGGAATTAGATGCCATGCATCATATGATAAGAGAAAGTGATCTTATGCCAGCTTCTCAATCCTCAGATGCTGGCAAATATATTGAGGAGCAAAAGTTAGGAATAGATATAAAAGCTCAAGATCTCTTTAAGTTCAAAAAGGTGCTAAAAATGGTAGAATTTTGATATGATCCAGAGGTAGTGACTATGTATCCAAGCGAGTCTGTAGCTATTCCAAAAGATATAACGTATAGAACAGAGGCATTCTTCAATGAACCAGTAGACACCGAAACTACTGTAGTTTCTTAAATACTAAAAATTCGATTCTGAAGTTGAGATATTAACAGGGCTTTTTCTTGAATACTTAGCATGATTTTCAACATAAAACAAGGCATTAGGGGTTTTGGGGTTTTGGGGTTTTGGGGTTTTGGGGTTTTGGGG